ATCTTCAGGTAAAGCCCATCCAGGCCCTGTCCATCGCAACTACTTATAAGCAGAAGGCCACAAGCAACTAATATTCTCCACACTTTCTCAGGTCTCTTGCTCCTTCAGAGATCACTCTCACTCTGGTGAATGGAAAGAAAAAAATGCTTTAATCCATATACTTTGTAATACCAGAAATTGACTCTGGATGTTAAAAATGTTCTGATATTTGAAACTCAGCTTCCTTCCCTCCATGATTCCCATAGGAAAAAATCAGGCCCTCCTATTCTTCCATGAGACCTGGATTCTTCCCTTGGGAACTACCAGGGCAAACACCATCCCCAAAGTCTATGCTCTGGGGAAGCAGGTTCAGCTGGGGCCTCTTTGGGAGTCTCACAAGGTCTCTACTAAGAACCGGACACCTCTCAGTGTTGACACCCTTGCACTGTGGAAATGTAATTCTCTACCTATTCATTCTACACACTAGCCCACCATACCCTTCCTTTCTAAACACTTGTGAGGTGTCCCTCACACAGCTATCCCTCACATGAGCATACCAATCCCTTTTGAAACAACAGACTAACCAACCTGTGCTCTACCAGATTCACAACGTCCAAAGAACTGCCAGGTACTGGAGGCTCATGTGTGTAATCCAAACTATTCTAGTAGTTGACACTGGGAAGACTGCAGACAAAGCCAGCCTGTGTAGACTCCACTTATTGCAACCAGAAAAATTCAGGACTAAAGGTGTGACTACAGAGGTAGATCACCAGCCAGAAACATGTAAACTGAAAGAGAAAATGAGAGCGAGAGACTGAGGCAGACAGACAGACAGACAGACAGAGAGGGAGGGAGGGAGAGAGAGACAGAATCAGTGGAAAGAGACAGAGACAGATTCATGAGGAAGAAAAGAGTGAGATGGAATGGGAAAGGGAGAAGAGGGGAAACATCAGAAGGGAAGGAGAAGAGGAAAATGTGAGGGAGTAGGAATGAAGAGAAATTGTAGAGGGGGGAGAGCAAAGAAAGTCCAGGACGAAAAGGAGACTCGGAGAGAAAACCAGACAAGTATAGGGTTCAAGCCATTATACCACCACATGCTCACAAATGGATCCAATAATAAACAAAAAGAAAGACAATAAAGAAAAAGCATGGAGACATCATGGAAATTCACAGTACTTCCCTCCCCACCCACCCTCTTCAGTGAACTCTGGTCCATGTGGAGTTCAGGACTGTTAGCTTCCTCCTCTCACCTCTCCTTCAGCATCAGTTTCAACCCTGTCCATCACCAAGATGCCTGTCCTATGACCACTTTGGCCCTCACTGCTTCTCTCACCAGAAACTCATCTCATTCTTTGAGAAGAGCTCTGGTCCCTAAATAACCCTGAGCTGCACCACTGGTCCACCAAGAGCCGCAGCCTTCCTTCTGCAAATCTCATCATTATGCAGTGCAGGCTCAGCCCTCTGAGCCCAGTCCCCCCCCATAGCAAAGGCCAGCTGTGCCCAACTCTCCCCATCCCACACTTGTTACTTAAGGGCAGCATCAGCCCTCAGCACTGCCTCTGTGTGAATCTAATGACCTGGCTGAATCAAAACAAATTTCACAGTGGAGAAGGCTCACATCCAATCTCACTGGATTTCTGTGGAAATGCAGTCAGCCCAGGCAGGGTCCATCCACAGGCACCATTATATAGCCATGCTTTCTCGGGTCTCCTGTTCCTTCACATAATTCACCACCTGTAGCTGAAAGCAAGAGAATATATTTTAACTCGTACACTTTGTGATTCCAAAAACGGACTTTTGCTGCTTCTCCCTGCAGAAAATTAGGGTTTACTTTTCCATGAGTCCTACAGTTTCTCCCAGGAAACTGCCAGGGGAAAGGAAGCATCATGCCCAAAGCCTGATGCTCTCGCGAAGGGGGTGTCAGCTGGGGGCTTCCCAGGAAACTCCTGGAATCTCTAGAAAGATATGACAACACTCAGTGCTGACCCTTTGTGCAGTACACATGTTCCTCCCTCCCTGTCCATTTGCACACCAGGCCACCACCCCCTTCCTTCCACACCATTTGTAAGGTGTCCCTCACACAGCTGTCCCTTACAGAAGTACACAAAACCCTTTCAAATAACAGAGAAGCCAACCTGTGCTACACCAGACTAACAAAGCCTAATGTGTTGCCTGATGCTGGAGGCTCTTGCCTGTAATCCTAGCTATCCCACAAGTTCACCTGCAACATTACACATACAGCACTTTGGAAAATTCCTTCCTCAATTAACTAGAGAAATGAAAGCCTGGAGGTATGGCTCAAGTGGGAGGGAACTAGTTATGACCATGTAAAATGAAAGAGATGAAGAGAGACAGAGAGAGGAGAGACAGAGAAACAGACATTGTGAGAGACTGATTCAAGAGCAGGAAGAGAGGAAGACAGAATGGAACAGGAAGATTCATGAGGAGGGAATAGGAAGAGAAGAAGAGGGAGAAGAATGAAAGGGGAAGAATAGGAGGAATGTAAGAGGGAGAAAGAAAATTAGGGAAGGTAGTTGGGCTGGGGTGGAGAGGTGAGAAGGGGAGGATGAGAAGAGACAGAAAGAGAGAAAAGCACTGACTTCAAGCCCCACGATCAGTACACATGCAAAACACATACATACAACAAACCAACATGAGGAACGAAAAGAAAAAGCATGGAGAAATCAAGGAAATTCAGAGAACTTCCCTCCCCACCCACTCTCTTCACTGAATACTGGTCCATGTGGAGTTCAGGATTCCTCAGCTCCTCTCCTGACCGTCCTCTCTGAGTTGTCATACAGCATCAGTGTCAGTCCTTTCTTTCAATAAGGTGCTCATCCTTTACCCTCTTTTGGCCCTCTTTGTTTCTCTCACCACAATCCCATCTCATTCTTTAAGGGGAGATTTGCTTCCCAAATGGCCCTGAGTTGGCTCTGATTCACCCAGGTCACTTCCTTCCACAAACGTCATCAGTCTACTCTGAAGGCTCAGCTTCTTGACCCATAGCAAAGGCCATGTGGACCCAACTCCTCCCCATCACTCCCTTGTAACCCCCCGAAGCTGAACCAACACATATGACCCAGTGGTGGAGGGTCACATCCAATCTTACCCAGTTTCTGCTCATATTCAGAAACAGTCAGCCCAGTCAGGGTCCATCCACAGACAAAGTCCACCCAGGCGTCCATCCACAGGCACCACTATATCTCCATACTTTCTCAGCAATCATACTCCTTCACAGGTTTCTCCACCTCTCCCTTCAAGGAAGGAATATTATTCTTTTTTTTATTTGTGAACATACTGTACAGAGGGGTTACAATTACATGGGCAGGATAATGCGTACATTTCTTACCAAGCATTGCAGCCTCCTCCTTTGTTTACCTTTCACATCCCTTCCCAGCCTCCCCCCCCCCCCCCAGTCCCAATCCTTCCCCCCCCCCCCCGACGTTGTAAAGCTCGTTATGGACATGACAACTTGTACTTCTCATTGTTGCCACAGGTCCACCTGTATCCTTAAACAACTGGTTTTCCCCCATCGCCTCCACAAGTTATACTGACATCAAATATAGTGAAAGCAGGGGTTATACTGTGGGGGAGGGACATACAAAGCAACAAAGAGATAATCTTATAAATGCATTAGAAACACATGCATGAAAGAAAAATACATTAAGATACATACCTAAGGGTTCATTTTCCTAACATCACATTATCTGACCTTTTCCGCTTGACTCATACATATACTAGCTATTGCAAATAAGGGAAACCATGGGGCCTATGTCTCTTTGGGCCTGGCTTACTTCGCTTAATATAATTTTTTCCAAGTCTTAAGGAAGGAATATTATTCTACTTCATATACTTGGCCAGTCTAAACAGTGGCTCTGGTTGGTCAGACTGTTCTCTTATTTGAAACTAACCCAGCCTTCTGCTTCCCCTTAGAGAAAATGGGGACTCATGGGAGGAGTTGCAATTCAAAACAACCTGTCTAGGTAATAGGGTCTCTTTGATAGAGACAAATAAACAACTCTGAAAGAAGAGATTCTTAGATGATGGTTTTATGTTGGGATAATGAGATTTAGAGAGAAATTACACACGCAGGAAAGTGCATTGAAATGGAGGAAAGTAAGGGGAGAAACCATTGAAAGTGAATGGGGTGAATGGAGACAGGTACCTCTCCATTCCCAGTGAAGATTTGCCTTTATGCTCCAACCCAGCCAGGGTAACTAGTGTGCTCACTAGTTGTACCCACTCACCTAGAGACTGCGGAAGGAGAAGCAGAGTTAGGATGCTTCCTGCCCCTCACATGCATGGATTTGTATACCACCAAACTCAAGGGCCTCACCTTCAACTGAAATAATCAATAAACTAGCAAGTAGGGACACAAGCAACCTACCTGGAAGGTGAGATGATGACCTGCTGCAGAATTTGGGACAAAAACACCTTAGTGTTCAGGGCACAAATGGGAAAGGTTGTTCAAGGAAGTGACAATACTCTTAAGTAAGGGATTGATGTGGAAATGCCCAGCTCAGAAGGTACAGGCAGCTTGAGGCCACCTTTCAGCTTACCTTTCAGCATTGGAAAGCTTTGGTGATGTCAGCTGTCCTTTCTCCAGAATGAATCCCTGCTGGTGAATCACACAACCTGGCCATGCTGGCCTGAGACCTCCGCAGGGTGGACTTCCTGCACGACTCCTTCCCCACTTGCAGCTCTTCAATTGCACACCTCTCTGCTTTTCCACACCCCAGATAGAGTCACCCTGAAGGTCTGAGTCTGGTGGGTATCTTTCAATTTTGCTGTTTCAGAGTTCTGTACCTCTTTCTCTGGGCCAGCTTTACTCTCAATCTGTGGATATTACTTTGGGGGCATTCACGACTTGCAGCTCTTCAATTGCACACCTCTCTGCTTTTCCACACCCCAGGATAGAGTCACCCCGAAGGTCTGAGTCTGGTGGGTGGTTTTCAATTTTTTGCAGTTTCAGAGTTCTGTACCCCTTTTTCTGGGACAGATTTATGCTCAATCTGTGGACATTACTCTGGGGCCTTTACGCAGCAGCAGATCCTTCGAATACTGACTATCCTGTTAGCCACCCTCCTCCAGCCCTGTCTAATGTTCCACCTGGGGGCTATGGCCTCCCCCTGAGGATGCCCAGAGGGAAGAGCATTTTCCACTGAGTGGAAACTGTCTAGTGTGCCCGACCAGCTAAAAGAATCCGGGCCCCAAATGAAGCTGGAACTGGAGCTCTGCAGGGTGTAGAGCAGAAGGACAGGCAGACTGGCACTTCGTGTTCTCTTCAGAGGGAACTGAAATTCTGAGGGCAAGCTGAAGGCATTAGATGGTGCAGAAAAGGTGGCATTTTTTCGTGCAGGGAGAGGGCTGGTGGGATTGTCCTCAGGAGTTGGGCATGGTGGATTAGGCAAAGGCATCGTTTTTGGTTCTACACTGCTGGCATTCTCCTTGAAGTGTTCCTGCATGAGCAGGTAGGTGCCCATGGCTTCATTGAATTCTCGGCCCTGGATTGCCTTTTCAATGCCAACTACACTGTACCCCATGTCGCACACGACTGTGACAATAATGGGGTCCAGCTTGCTGGGCAGTGGCTCATCAGGAAGCAGGCCAAATCCCACACCTAGAGCCAGCCATGGGTGCTGCATTATTTTCTTAATAGCAGGCCTCTGATTGAAGTGCACAGTCAGCAGTTTAGAAAGGAGATCACGGCCCATTGCAGATAGGTAAAGGGGACCGGTGTACCTGGCCTCTAGGATTTTGTTCTCTATCTGAATCATCTTATTCCCCTCAAATGGGAACTTTCCTGTTGTCATCATATATAAAAGGATGCCCAAGTCCCAAGTGTCCACCTTGTACCCATCGAACATGTTGTATAGGAACACTTCAGGAGGGCGGAATATCAAGGCTCCACAAACCCCCTTTACCAACTGCCCTGGGGTCACCCTGATGCTAAGGCCAAAATCACTGACCTTGACATTGTGATTGGTGTCCAACAGCACGTTGTCGGCCTTCAGGTCTAGGTGTACAATACCGTTCTCATGAAGGTACCGAACGGCACTCGTGATCTGCCTGAACAACCTCTTGGCTTCAAACTCGAAGAGGCGGCTGCAAGGGGATTTATTGATATACTCCCAGAGATGGCCCCAAGTGGCCAGCTCAGTGACCAGGTACACACAGTGTTCATCCTCCGTCACCTGGAACAATCGGATGATGTGTGGGTGATGTACACTCTTCACAATGTCCACCTCATTTTCTAGATCATGGCTTCTCAGCTCTTTCTTGGAGAGAACTTTGACTGCCACTGTGGTGTCTGTGAGGCGGTGATGGGCCAGCTTTACACAGCCAAAGCTGCCGTAACCAATGATCTCTCTTATGTTGTACTGTCCAATGACAGTATTCTTCTCTTCCCTGGGAGAGGCCATATTGCAGGTGGGATGGCAAGTGATCAAGATTAAGAATTATCTAAGATAATCTAAATAGAGTTAGTAACTAATAAATCTTAAAAGGAAACTACCAACGAACAAGTAAATACAAGCCCCTTGCCCCCGACAAGTAAATGAAATCCCCAAACCCAAACAACAAAACCACCACCCCCCACACCCAAAGAAAGCAGCCAAGTAGCTCTAAGTTAGTCCAGCAGGTCACCAAGTAAAAGCTCCCAGCGCTGTAACTGACAAAGCTGGAGAGCAGCTGCCTCTTATATACCCTGCTGGGCAGGCCTCACAATGCCCTGTGATGTCAGGGGCAGATGGACCAATCAAAAGTCAGGCCATTGACATCAGCGAGGAAGTGGACCAATCAGAGCCCAGTGCACACCCACTGGCAGTTAGGTACTTGGACCAGGAAGACCCTGGTTGCCAAGGACAATGGGCACATGGCAGGATGCTCTTCCTGCTGCCATGAGGACATTGGCCAGTGGCCCTCATCTTTCTTGGGGGTTGGGCATCCTAGGATGGCTCCTGGGAGGAAATCACCCACTGGGCTCTTGATGAGACAATCCAGAGAGCGAGACAATCCTTGCAGGCACCATAAGAAGTGAACAAAACAAGTTTATTTACGCTATTAACACCAGAAAGGTCTCTTGAGACTACCTTGTCCTGGGCTAGATACCCAGAACCAAGAGCAGCCTCAGCCACCAAACCTCCAAACCTCCAGTAGGCAGTTCTGACCCTCCAACCTTCATTAGTTGGTCTGCAAACCACCAATTAGTCAGTCTGCAAACCTCCAAACCTCACACCTCCAAAGCTCCAAAGCTCCAACCCTCCAAAGGGGAAGGCTTTTCCCTTTCTTCCCTTCCTCCCCCACATGCAGGCCTCTCCACTGTCCACAGACCTCCTGGAGGGAGGTCCCAAATGGCCATTCATGCTCCTCCCCCAAGCTGCCCAAATCCAATCCCAATAGGCAGCTTGCTATGTGCATGCCTCTAGAAGCATGCCCCGTCCCCTTGTGGTGGCAGGCCCCTCCAGTGCCCCTTGGAGTGGTGACAGCAGCCTCTCAATGCCCTGCTCTGTCCAGCGGCGGGGTCTGTGGAGGTGTGAGGCTTGACTCTTGATGCTGCACCCCCTCCAGCAGGCCAGACCACGGGGCCCTCTTTATTGGGCCCCATTGATTATTGAGGCCCCACAGGTTATTACAGACTCTATCCTTGTACAGAAATTATAACACTGTCCTTTTCACATAGCATGGTCTGCATCTCATTGCAAGGGAGCCTGAGATATGGAGACTTTGTAACAATTCAACTCAAACATTTCTTTCCACTTGAGAAGAGAGACCACACATCCAAGATGAAGTCATAGTTTTGTTCACATCTGCCATTCTCATTTCTGATTCCAGTTTCTATGGTTTCCTGTGCTGCTTTGTACCTCTTACTGTTTTTGATTCACTTAACCACTTTTTCAATCTTTATTTGTCCCTCACAGGTGAGAAATAAAGTATCTTGCTTTTATATCTTTTAGTACTGTTGTCTCAAATTTTCATATATCTATAATTGTTCTAATAAAAACCATCCATGAAATATGTCTATCTCAGAGGCAGACTCTTATTTTATGGAACGGAGGTTTATTCTACTTGAGAGTTCTTTTATTCTTTATATCATTTATTTATTCCTTTATTTCTGGCCATGAGGTTGAACTCTGGACCTGGGCACTGTCCCTTAGCTCTTCAGCTAAAGCCTAGCACTCTACAACTTGAGCCACAGTACCAGTTCTGGTTTTCTGGTGGTTTATTGGAGAGAAGAGTCTCATGGACTTTCCTACCTGGGTAGGCTTTCAACTGCTATCCTCACATCTCAGCCTCTTGAGTAGCTAGGATTGTAGGCATGAGCCACCTCTACCCAGCCACTTGACACGTCTTTTTAAAGGAAAAGAATTAATGGTGTGTCAGGCACTGGTGGCTCCCCCCTGTAATTCTAGCTACTCAGGAGGATGAGATCTGAGGATCTCGGTTTGCATCCAGCCTGGGCAGGAAAGTCCATGAGACTCTTCTTGACAATCACAATTACCTCAATTGTCTCTGTGTCTCAAAGTGGTTGAGAACTAGCCTTAAGCAAAAAAGCTCAGGGACAGCACCCACGCCCTATGTTCCAACAACAGCATTCAAAAGGAGCTGGGTGTAATAAAGCCATACTCACAAACACAGAATGCAGAAGGCAGAGGCAGGAGGTACAGAGATTTTGGCCATCTTGGCCTTTATAGTGAGTTACAGTCCAACCTGGGCTACATAGCAAGACCAAGTTCCAAAAAAAAAAACCCCTCTTACCCTGAAACACCCAGGAAATTCACTTACAGATGAATCTCAGAGAGCTGTTCCTCCATAACCCTATTCCATTTGGTCAAATATTGTCACCTACTACTTTAGAGCCGAGGGACAGCTCCCAGGCCCAGAGTTCAAGCACTATGACTGACAAAAAACAAACAAAAAAGTGCCTATGAATCAATTCTTACATGTTGTTTCTCCCATATAGAAAATCTGTAAGAACACATCAGTCATGCTTTTTGAATGCAAAAAAATGATACCTGTTGTTGCAGAGAATAATTACACATGTTTGAAATCTCCAAATCTTGGGTTTCTATTTTGTAAGGATCACTACAGAAGTTCATTTTATTCTTAATAATCATCCTAAGAATTGTGTTTTACTTATTATTATTCAGACACACACACAGGATTGCAGCTTAAAATTACAAGTCAGGTATTTAAGTGTGGAATCTAGAATTGGAACCCAGATCCAACCACACTCATGTCTACTACTCCATGAAGAGGAATGCAAGCAGGCAATTATTTGATGTTGTTTTTGTTTTAATTTTGCTCTACCACTTGAATAACTGCTCCACTTCTGGCCTTTTGGTGTTTAATTAGCAATAGGAGGCTTAATGGTCTTTCCTACATAGGTTCACTTCCAACTGTGCTCTTCAGATCTCAGCCTCTTGAGTAGCTCTACTTTAGGAGCCTTGCTTTCCCTGAAAGCAAAAATAAATCTATAGGTCTAAGAGAGGATGGGGGTCGGGGGAGGATGTATCTCATTTGTTAGCCAAGCTCCAAGAGCCAAATATCACATTTTTTTACCCATCTAGACTTAGAAAGATATAAACATTTTTATAGACATGACTAGACAACATGATTTAAATGTGGAACTCTATGGGAATGAAAGGGAGAGAAAATGATAGGGTATAAATAAGATTAAGATACATTGTGACTAGGTAAGAAAATGGTGTAAGGAGACACACTGCAAGCTACTGAATGTGGTGGTAGAAGGATATGGAAACAAAGTGTAATAAAAGAGGTGAATCAGATTAAATTATAATATATGTACTGGTGAAAAGGCATATAGAAAGCCCAATGTTGCCCTAAGTTACACTAAAAAATGAAAACAAAATGAATGATAGGAAAGTAAAATATGAGGGAAGGCCAAGAGGGAAGCTGAATGAGGGTGAATATGGTACAAATGCTTTATGAGTGTATTAAAGTAGGACAATGAAACCTGTTGAGTTTGGTTGAGAGACAGAGAGAGAAAGAAAGAGAGAAAGACAGAAAGAGAGAGAGAGAGAGGGAGAGGGCTTGAACTCAGGATCCAGCAGGCACTGTTCCTTAGGTATTCTGCTCAAAGCTATTGTTCTATCCCTTGATCCACAGCTCCACTTCTGGCTTCTTGATAATTAATTGAGATAAATGTCTCACAAACTTTTCTGTCCCAGTTGGCTTTGAATCAAGATCCGTGGATTTCAGCCTTCTGAGTATCTAGGATTGCAGGTGTGAACCACAAATGCCTGCCTATATTTGTTTCAAGGATGGAAAGAAAGTGATGGAAGAGTGAGTTTAACTGAGATGCATTATATGTATGTACGGAAATATCACGAGACCTTTGTTTAGACAACTAATTACATGCTAATAAGAATTGTCTTTAAAAAGAGTTTTTTCTTCAACCACTTTGGAAAGCAGTATGGAGGTTCCTCAAAAGACTTCACATAGAACTCCCCTATGACCCAGCAATCCCACTTTTGGGCATTTACCCAAATGCTTACAAACAAGACCACACTAAAGCTACCAGCACAACAATGTTTATTGCAGCATTATTTACCATAGCTAAGATCTGGAACCAATCCAGATGCCCCTCAGTAGATGAATGGATCAAGAAAATGTGGTATATATACACAATGGAATTCTATGCCTCCATCAGAAAGAATGACATTGCCCCATTTGTTAGGAAATGGAAAAACTTGGAAAAAATTATATTAAGTGAAGTAAGCCAGGCCCAAACAAACATAGGTCCCATGGTTTCCCTTATTTGCAATATCTAGTATATGTATGAGTCAAGCGGAAAAGGTCAGATAATGTGATGTCAGGAAAATGAACCCTTAGATATGTATTTTAATGTTTTTTCTTTCATGCATGTGTTTCTAATCATTTATAAGATTATCTCTTTGTTGCTTTGTATGTCCCTCCCCCACAGTATAACCCCTGCTTTCACTATATTTGATGTCAGTATAACTTGAGGAGGAGATGGGGAAAAACCAGTTGTTTAAAGATACAGGTGGACCTGTTGCAACAATGAGAAGTACAAGTTGTCATGTCCAAAATGAGCTTTACAACGTTGGTGCAGGGGGGGGGGAAGGGGGGGAAGGAGAAAGATTGGGATTGGGGGGAGGGGGGAGGCTGGGAAGGGATGTGAAGGGTAAACAAAAGGAGGAGGCTGCAATGCTTGGTAAGAAATGTACGCATTATCCTGCCCATGTAATTGTAACCCCTCTGTACAGTATCTTCACAAATAAAATAAAAATAATAAAAAATGTTTTTTCTTGATGCCAGTAGCTCACTCCTATAATCCTAGCTATTCAAGAGGCTGAGATGTGAAGATCACAGTTTGAAGTGAACCCAGGAGGAAAGACCATTAAGCCTCATATGGCCAATTAATCACCAAAAGGCCAGA